GCAGCAAAAGAAGAGGTCATTCAGCCAATGGAATACCCAAGACTTTCCTCTATTACAGAGGTGCATAAGCCATGGAGTTGAGACATCTTTTCCAGTGAGAGTGAATGTACGATTGGACAGTGGCCAGATCATATATAAAAATAGAACTTTGACCCACAACCTGCAGCAAGTTGTCCAGGAAACCAATCCCCTTACCTACAGTAAATAATCCAGGCAGCCCACCTGCTATACGTCAGACTTGCAGAAAGCCATATTGTTATCTGTAGTGACAATCCAGGAAGCTAAACAATAATTTCCATCATAATTGGCTCCAAATGGCCAGGAGTTGATTAATAACTGACAGTGTCCCTAATTTTTGTGCCAGCTTCCAATTTAGGACCAATCAGAGAAAGCCAATGTGCACCCTGAACCGATTGCATAGGATGCCCCACATCTAGTTAGCCTGCCTACAGCTTCTCCACGCCAACAGTTTTCCCTCTTTTTTCCACTATAAAGCTTTCCTACTTCTCTGTCTGCCTTGGAGTCTCTGCCAAAATGCAAGTGACAGTGGCTGACTTCCTGAATAAATAGCTTTTGCTTTTTCTCATTTGGTTGGTCTTTGTTTATTATCATATAAGGCAAAGATCTGCTAAGTCACAAAGAAAAGAATGTAATCTTGACTGCAGACTAGCTAGCTTCAGTTCCTCTCAGTTTACGAGACTCAGTGTCATGCCATGTCTTTCTCATTCTACCTGTTCTCTCTCTCTCTCTGTATCATCTCTTTCCTTTCTCAGGTCTTTTTACTTATATCTGCAGTCCTTCAGGTTACCTTTGTACCTCACTTGGATAATTATAATCATCCCTGCACTAGTCAACTTCACTTCCTTTACATTCTAATCCACCTCAATCACTGCTGCTAGATAAATCTCACAGAAGCACAGTTCCGATGTCATTCATCTGTCCAAGAACATTAAATGGGAAAATTTTCAGTCTAAAAAGACAATCGCCTAGTAGTCACTGCAGCAGCCTTTCCTGAACTTGCACTAGAGCACACAGAATGAAAAGAAAAAAAAGTTGTAACATTGAAAATAAGGTTGCTTGTTTTGGAGTGAATTTTTCCACTTTTTATAGGGATGGTGAAGTTGTATTGGAAAAAAGACTTGGAAGCCTATCCATGTTTGCCTTATGAAACCTTAGGAACCTCTGCTCTCCTCACAGGGGCTGGGACATTTATTTTTTATCTACTAGAAAACATTGAAGCTATATCTCTATTGGATGGGTGTTGATTTTGGAAGAGAGAAAAGGGATTATGACCCTAGAGTTTCATACCCACCTAAGATATCTTCAGTGGGAGATGTTAACAAAAGGCATGCTCGGACATGCTGTAATCAGTAAATTTTACTCCAACACCCTTGGGGAAAAAAATTACATAACAACATATAGTAGTGAACTGACTAAAAATGAACAATTCCAGAAGGTGTAGGTCAGGCTTTAAAAAGCATAACAGAGCTATCTTTACTCAGTTTGTATGACAAAGTCAGTTTTCTGATTGAAAGATAGCTTTTCAGGTAGATTTGGCAGCCTGGACTTAAGCGTGGTCCATAATGTTTTTCATACCAGTTCTCCTTCAGCTTCCAGTTTAATCCTCAGCTGGAGTATACTGTTGTAGTGCTACTGAAAACTTGTTTATGTTATTCTGTTTTGCACGGTTGAAATATTTATGCCAAGAATATTACAAAATGCTCTTTGCCTCCATAAAAATCACAGTTGCCTGGAGCCACATAAAGACCATTGACACTGCCAAGAAATTCGGATAACAGATTTCAACATTTTCACCACTCACATTGGGTGATCTGAGTCATTATGTTTTCATAAAAAAACTGAACCATCCACGTGCAGAAATGACCAGTGCCTAGCCTAATTCCTGTTTCTATTCTAGTTCACCTTCCAAGTAGAATGTTTGGAAGTTTCTGTGTCAGGTAGGCATAAAGGTCAGTTATGTATGGTCTGTATTCTAATTATGAGAAACGTGAAAAAGCCTGTAATCACAATGTTGTATTCTACAATTCAGATGGAATGGATTGCCTTGTTAGTACTTCTCTCTAGCTAGTGAAATTCAGAATTGTGGAAAAGCAGATGGAATTTTATAAAATCCCATGATCAGCATAATCTAAAAAAGAATACACAGTTATAAAAAAATTAGAGGAAAGTACATAGTTAATAGTGCTTTTCTCCCTGTGACACAGCTATAAATGATTTATTTTCTCTTTTCTACTTTTTGTATGCTCCAAATTTTCTACAATAAACATACAAAGCTTGATTTAAAATTTTTTGTAGAAACATGGCTTTCCACCAACAGTGAATGGTCTTCCACGATCAGGCTCCAACCTATCTTTCCACAACTTTCTCATTTTTCATTACTACCCTTCACATACATTTTACTTCAGTAAAAAATTAACTGTTTTTCTTTTCCCCTATAAACCCTAAACTTTCTTGACTCTGCATGTTCAAATCATTCCAGGCTCACCTTATTTGCTGCTTTATCTATAGGTTTTTTCTAATGTAAGTGCCTGAAGTAAACACCTTCACGTAACTCCTATACATTTCTTAGTTTATTCCTTATAGAATTAATTATAGAGGGATCGTTTTCTTTATTAGATAACAACCTTCCTTCCTTGTTCCTTCCTTCCTTCCTTCTTTTTTATTTTCAGATAACTAATTTGGTCTTTTTTTTTTTTTTTCTAAATGTCTATAAAATTTTATCTCCCAGTCTACACTCTTAAGTGCTCTGAGGCATTTAAGTCTCAGACATTTGATAAACAAATGTATAGCTGAAAGAATGATTAAATCAGTTGAAGAGAGCAAGGATCATGCATTATCATGTCTGATTAGTCATGCAGATGCATGATAAATAGGAAGACAAATGCGAAAAGTTATCAGGATGTTACTTGGACTAACTGCTGGGTTTTGAATCTAAGTTTGGATCAGACAGGATGTAATTTTAATTCCAGGCCCCTGATCTCGGGGAGGTCAGACATAGAAAATCAGCCGTTATATGACCCTGATATATATTTAATCATATAACCAATGACTGTTCTGAGGAATAGCCATTTTCATTTCTGTGCTGAAAATGTCCAGTTTTTTTGTGGTGTTCACAGCTGCCTCTACAGTTGGTGTATTTATTCTCTCTTTTCCCCTTCTTCCTTCTCCCTCCTACCTCCCTTCTTCGACTCAATTGCTCTTTAATTTACCTATTCTTTCTCATTAATACATTGCTTTTTAAAATGTAATCTACAAAATGCAACTTGACTGTCTCACAAATGGTCAGAAAACTGGTTCCACAATTTTAGTTTGGGTTTTCTAAAGACATAGGAATGAAGACATTGTGTATATATGTCTTCAATTTATTCTTTTCTTAGAGAGAAAAATGATAGCTTGAATCTTTTTCCATGGAAATACAACTTTTTAAAAATTCAGTTATTAGAGTATTTGGTAAAAACGTCATGTTTTGAAGTTGCTTTGGACAGAATTAATTTAAAAATGGATGCTTAAAATAATTTGATGTATAGCCTCCTGCCATATGGCCATCAGGCATCTGTTTGGGCACCTCCAGTCACAGGGATCTTACTGCCACTGAGGAACCCTATTACATCTTTTATATAAATATTGAGTGAAATCTCTCCAATGTTTAAGAAACATAAAAAAATAAAGCAGAGAAGAAAATGCAAAAGGTATGCTAATGAGAGGAAGCAACACTTAGCACTTACTAAACTTCTACTAAGTGCACAAGATTTGTATTCTTCATTTTACTTAGTTCTCACTCCCTAGATGTTCTGCCCTCTAGCAAACAAATAAACATGCAAGCAAAGAAATAAAGAACAAATAAAATGTGATCAGGGAGAAGGGGGATGGGGGTGGCAGGTGGTGAGAGGATTATAAAAAGCTTAACAATTTTTTTCTGTGAATGTTTAGGGTCTTACCTACAAGCATTTATTATTCATTAAAGATGTGAGCAACACTCTACTTGACAGAGAAGAGGAAATAAAAGAGGAAAGGAAAGGAAGAGAAAAGAAGAGAAGGAAAAATAAGAGCACGAGAAGACAATTTAGGACGGCTTTTTTGTGTGTGTGAACTTCAAAGCACCTACTGATTTGAATTTAGGAAGTGGGGAAAGAGATCAAAAGAGAATATAAGTGTAGAAAATAAAGGCAGAGGAGAATTTCAGTCCGGTGAGCAATGTAATTTATTTTGATTCTACAAGTATTTATGGAGCAGCTATTATGGGTCCATCACCCATTAATAAATTGGGTACAGAATGAAAACCCAAGCCAAAGACAATACACTTCCCTCTTTCCACAGACTCTCTTTGCTCTATCCTGCCCATTTTCCTGCACAAAGACCAGCAAATTCAGCCAGAAATCAATAGTAGGTATTTTAAATTAAAGACTCGAAAAATGAATTCTCCCTTTCCATTTTCCTCTAGATATTATCTTTTTATATTTATATAGTATAGTCTATAACTATGTATGTACACTTTTAATTTACTAACATCTTATTATATTTGATTTTAAAATATGTTCTTCTTAAAATAAAACTACTTTTGAAAGTTCTGCATTATTTTGACTTTTCACCAAGTCAGCTCACTTCTTTCAAACATACAAACTTAAATTGTCTAGTGATTTACAGTCAATTTTTCCAGAGTTAAAAAAAAAAAATGCCCCAGTTTTCTCTTTTACCAAGACAGGAAGCATTTCCTGGAGATTAATCACCATTTTGCCTTGCAAAATTGGGAAGGTTGAAAGGAATTAGTAAAATAGGTTATATCATCCTACTTTGAATTTGGAATTTTTGGAAATGGTCCTGCTGCCATTTGGATGAGAGCAATGATGAGTCAAGCTGTGGGTGATCTAAATAAACATTGCCACCCTATAAAAGTTGGGCTCTAGAGGGTGGACCTAGAAGGAGGTAGGCAGAGAGTGTGGGGCATTGAGACAACGCAGAGCTGAGTAAAGCCCGTGGAAATGAAGAGTCTTCCAATCCTCCTGTCACTTAATGTGGCAGTTTGCTCAGCCTATCCATTGGATGGAGCTGCAAGGGGCGAGGACGACAGCATGGACTTTGTTCAGGTAATTTATGGAGAGAGCCATTGCACTCATTCACAGGGCCGAGTGGGGAAACCATCTCTGCCTTCCAGGAAGCTCAAACCATTCCGTGTGTCTCAAAACCCACGCAGGATGTTTTGAGCTTCCTGAATAGGAATAGTTCAGGGACAGAGAGTTATAAAGTGTTGGATGGGGAAAGAGTCTCAGTATCATACCATTTGGGCTCCTCCTTTTATGTAGGAAGAAACAAAGGCCAAAAATATTAGGTGTTTTCTTAAGATCACACACACCGTAGAAGTAGCTGCACTGGGGCTTGAGGCCCATGAGTAAGTGGAGAGTGTGTGAATCATGTCTTGCTTTGGAACTTTAGGTATTTTAATCCAAAGAAATTTTAGCTAAATATTTGTATTGGTAGTGTCATGTTTAAACTAAAGGATTTGTCCAGCTTTTCTCTTAAGCCAGGTCCTTATGAGAAGTGGAAATTGGAAAATTGAGGAAATTAAATAAATGTACCCAAAGAGGTTTATTTTATTTTTCTCCTTTAAGCACACTGAACATTTATTTCAGTTTTCTACTTCACTTTCATTGCTTTGGTAGCAAAGTAAGCTGCAGAGATATTTAATCGCAAAGATAAAGCAAAGGTGAAGGGGAGACTGTAATTGAAGAATTAAATGACATAGGATGTTTATTATGTCAGCAAACTAGAAAAATATTTCAAATAGATTAAGAAAAGTGAACAACTGCAAAAATTTACTACAAATACCTAAAGCTAAAAATCATACAAGTG